TCAAAATGTTCTTTGTGTTCCTTCTTTTCCATTCGAGTCTTGTTTCGTAAGCCAATTAACCAAATCATTGAATTGCTCGAGTAACCTTTAATGCCAATTGTTTTGTTATCCAGGAACGTGGTACGGGTCGACTGATTGGAGAAGGACATGAATCTGGAGGCTTATACTACCTTCAGACTAAGTCATCTGTATCTTGTGTTGCGTCCTTATTCCCAAAACTGTTACATGAGCGATTAGGGCATCCTCATTTAGCAAAATTGAAAAAAGTGGTTCCTGAACTTCAGAACCTTCAAACTTTTGAATGTGAATCCTGTCAACTAGGGAAACATACCAGGTCATCCTTTCCAAATCATTCTGAATCTAGATGTTATTCTGCTTTTAGTATTGTTCATTCAGATTTATGGGGACCTAGTCGTGTTTCATCTTTTGGTTTTAGATATTTTGTTACTTTTATTGATGAGTTTTCTAGATGTACTTGAGTTTATCTTATGAAAGATCGTTCTGAACTATTGCCTATCTTTAAGTCTTTCCTTAATGAAATCAAAACTCAATTTGGAAAAGTAATCAAAGTTTTACGAAGTGATAATACCAAAGAGTACTTTTCTAATGATTTTTCTAATGTCCTAAATTCTCAAGGCATTTTACACCAGTCCACGTGTCCTCACACACCACAGCAAAATGGTATAGCAGAACAAAAAAATAGACATTTGGTTGAAACTGCTCGTACCTTATTGCTAGGTGCCAATATGCCTATTCATCATTGGGGAGATGCTATTCTAACTGCATGCTTTCTCATTAATAGAATGCCATCTTCTTCTCTTGATAATAAAGTTCCACATTCTATTCTATTTCCAAAGGAACCAATTTTTCATGTTTCTCATAGGGTATTTGGATGTATATGTTTTGTTCATGACATGTCTCCTGGCTTTAGATAAACTCTTACCTAGAGCTATCAAATGTGTCTTCTTGGGGTATTCTCGTCTTCAAAAAGGATATCAGTGTTATTCTCCTGAAACCAAGAGGTACTACATGTCTGCTAATGTCACCTTTTTTGAATCATCATCCTTCTTCCCTTATTCTATGCAGGATATTGATTCTGTCCAAAATGTTTTTCCTGTTCTCTTAGTTGAATTAGTGTTACCTCCTATTCCTGACACCCCAAATCCCAACCAAAATACTCTAGAATCAGCATCACAACCTATCATCACCTATCAACGTAGGAACCAGGTGAACAATCCTATTCCCCAAGATCAGCCATCCATAACAGGTCCTTCACCATCACCCATTGACCAACCCCTAATGGTAAGTGATTATCATGTTCATCTTGTATACCAAATTTTAGAATGCAGACACAAAGTATCAGGTGATAATTTTTGGGTATTGTAAGAAATAAGAACAATAAATATAAATCACTTATTATATTCAATTGCATAAGATTAAACAACAACCCAAGAATATGGTCTTGTTTCTCTTAGCTGGCACTTTCCCCTCTACTTTGTTATCATTCTTATTTAGTTTTAAGAAACTCGGATCATCTGCAGTAGTTTGATAGGATGCTAATACTTGTGTTTAATATTGTTAGAATTATTATTAGTTAATGCTTAGTAGTTAGTAGTTGGTGGTTGTTGTTTTAAATGTTGTAATCCTATATATATATATATATATATATATATATATATATATATATATATATATATATATATATATATATATATATATGAGATCATAGAGTGGAGTAATGCATCCCACTAAATTAAAAATCTTCTTTTCACTCTCTTTACTCTCTTAACTAATATAACATAACTAATCCATTTCATTCAACCAAGTTGGAAACTGCAATAACCCACCCACATAGCCACCATTTTCATAGAACATACAGCCCATTCCTACCCTAAAAGCCTGTACTTTTGGGTTCAACCCTAATTTAGGTCACACAAAATCATAGGAAAATAATCTTTGTCTAATGTTCATTATTTGGAATTATGTGTCAAAAATCACGGTTAAGTGACATTGCACTAGTTCCTATCAAAAGGGGAAATAATTTTTTTTCTTTAAATTCATTATTTTCAAATAGTCCACAGATTTCTATCCATCCTATCCAAACCAGCCCAGATTTTCCTTTGATACTTTATATCACTGTGATTGGTCATGCTATTAGCTCGGCTTTGAATGTGTAGCAAAGCCACCAGAATGCAACACACTCTGTACGATTGGCATTAAAGGTTACTGAGCAATTCAATGATTTGGTTAAATGGCTTACAGAAACAAGACTGAATGGAAAAGAAGGAACACAAAGAATATTTTGAAGGTTTAAAGAAGAAGAGATGGATACTTGACCAATTCCTTTAGAGGCTACTTTAGATCCATTAGCTAAAGATATGATATGGGAGGTTTTAGGAAATGAAAGAGAGGAGAATAAAGAGGTATTACCAGACATGTGGTCAGAAGCACCTAAGTCAATAATCCACAGATTTTGACTTTCCACAGATTGTGAAATGCAAGCGGTTGACGAATTTGGTGTTGTAGATGCTTGAGCCAAATTGGTTGATTTCATCCTTAAATATTCTTGATACTCTTCATGAGAGAACTTGGGCTCATCAACTTCAGATTTTGAGGTATTAGCTGCCTTATCAGGAAAGTCGTGCAGAGCAAAGCAATTTTCCTTAGTATGTCCCATTCTTTTGCAATGAGAGCACTGAGGACGTCTTCTCCCACCACGTCCTTTATTGCTGTGATTACCTCTTCCACGAGCAGAAATCATGGCGGAAGAATCAACAAGTTCCTGACTGTTTTTGCTTTTGCTAAAAGGAACACGAAGTAACCTTGTGATTAAACTCTCCGTAAAAGGAACTTCTTCTCCAGTTAGAATCTGGTCTCTAACATGATTAAATTCTAGATTCATAGCCTTAAGAATCATTACCATATAGAATTTATCCAGCTTCGTCTTTCTTTCCTCTAATGATTCTGCCTCCAGAAACATTTTTAATTCTTCAACGGCCGATTGAGCTTCAGCAACAAAGGACATCATGGAATTATCCTCTTGCTTAAGGGAGGCTAGTCTATTAGCAAAATCATAAAGTCGTTGAATATCGTTAGCAAATATATTTTGGGCCTTTTTCCAAAAAGAATTACATATCTTGAAGGATCGAAGAGTGCTCAATATATTTGGTTCAACATATTGCCATAATAGTGCACAAAGTTGATAATCCTGTTTCTTCCATTGAGGAGCCTGATCTGCTGGTTGAGTACTTCCATCTTCTTCTAGATGATCATGAACTCCTTGTCCTAAAAACCAGAGCTCAACAGATGAAGCCCAAGACAAATAATTTTTCCCATTTAACTTTTTTGTGGTTATAGTCGGAGTCCCAGAAAAAGATACAGACACAGGTTCTGACATTTTTCAGGAAACAAGAGAGGACTAGCGTGCTGTCTCTAGAAGCAGAGAGAGGACCGAGAGAGGCAGAGAGAAAAAACGCACACCCACCACGTTTTGTGACAGAGAACACAAAACAAAGTGCAAATCTGGCACCAAGGCGACGAGGCGAGCCGGATAGAGGTGGACTGGAGCAAAACAGCCACCGGGAGGGCGGCGCGTGGCGGCACGTGAGGCAGAGATGGAGGAAGCGATCACTGGGGTTGGGTCGCGCTCCTCGAGGCGAGCCTAACCCAAGTGTCAGAGGGAGAAATGGCGCCGGAGAAGTACTGCACCGGCGGCGAACGGCTGTGAACGGCGGCGGACGATGGAGAACGGCGATTAATGCCAGAAAAAGAACAGACACAGGCAGAGCGGGATGAACCGGCTCTGATACCAACTTGAAATAGAAAAAGGAAAATAAATAACTGATTTTGAGAACCTGAAATCATCTTCTTGTGTTCTCTTATTTATAGGTGATAAAAATACAGATTCAAAGATACAATTAATAGAGACATGATTAATCCTAGAGAAGATAAACAGATGCATTCTAGGAACTAGGTCTACAACTAATCTCATAAATGTCCACCAAGATACAATTAATCTAATAAATACTTCAACAGAAATAACACTATCAATCTCATTATTTTCTTAAAATAGTTCATAAGAACTATTTTTTTCTTTAATTTATGAAAAATAATATTTATATGTTTCTATTTATACATACATATATGTTTCTTAAATTTTTATTGAATATAAATTATTTAAAAGCTCGACATTTAACTTGTATACATATCGGTAAATTATCTAAAAGTATTCTATGTAAAACAAATAAAAGTATTGATACTTCATCAATACGTTTCAATGAAGTATCGGATATGGATACGTGAAGCAAATTGAAGTATTGATGCTTCATAGGTTATGAATGAAAATTATTTTGAATAAAGTAAAATATAAAGAATCTATGACTCCCTTGTGACAATAAATAAGTTATTAGTATTATCCACAATCAAACCTCACAAGACCAAGGATTAAAGATTGACAGGTACTTAATCAAAGAAAGTTGTGTTGTGGCCTTATAACTAATTCCTACATCCCATTAGGACTTCAGCTTGCAGATTGATGACAAAGGGACTTCCCTCATAACAGTTTCATGATCTTACATGCAAGTTGGGAATTATTAATATCATCCATTCACCATGTCAAGGGAGAGTGTTGAGTTATGATTTTGTTTGATTTACAAGAAATATTGTAGAAATACAAAGAGTTGTACTAATTATTGTAATTATTATTAGGGTAACAAAGTTATCTTGAGTACTCTATAAATAGAACATCCTTATATTATTTCAATCAAGAAAAAGAAATAGAATATAGTTTTCTCCTCTTCACTATCTTCCTTATATTTAGCTGTTGAAATTCTCCTAAGCTCTACAAATGTCATGACACTAAACAAGATTATGAACTAAATCATTCCACTCATTGGATAATAAGTAACATCTAGGCCAGAGAGGGATTAATTATATATCAACATGTTGAACAAAATTAAACTAGAAAGGGATTGATAAAATATTTTACCTACTTCCATGCTCTATTTATAGCCAATTTGTACCATCAAATGGCGATAATAACGTCCACGCATTATTCTATGCCACACAAAATGAATCAAATCACGGGAATTCATTTGCATTCGCTGCTCTACAAGCCTGCAAGCAAATATCAGTTTAAAGAAGTATTTTTAATCCCATCCAGTTTATTATCAGCGCATGAAACTAAAGAAAATCACTTACCATCTCACTAGACACCTCTGAATCCCCTTAGATGTGGGTCGAATAAATGGTGGATCTCGTTGAGCATAAAGTAATCCCACCTTCAAAGATTCCCGTCTTAAGAATAGGTCAGATTGTTATTGTTGATTTTCAGTAGTAAAAAGTTCAGCAATTCAACTAGGCTAGTATTTGATGGTGTTTGAATTTTCAATTGAATTACTTACCATAATTAACAAAGCCTTTCAAAAAATAAGAAATAAAATAAACTTAATAAAAAAAGTAGTTCTAAAAATAATTGCTAATGATCATCTGCAACATTTCAATACTTCAAATTGAATGAGCATGTAATATAAAAATTGACAAGGACGATCCTAAAAGGCCAATGCCTTTTCTGAAATTAACATACCTGTAACAAAGCAACAGTAGATGGATCATCAAAGACTTCTTCACTATAATCACTTCGGTAATTGACCTGCTTGAAGAAAATGAGCGGCATTATTGAACAGATTCACATCTGTGCATAGTCGATAAATAAACAAAATAACAACACCGTTTTTACTATAAATATCTAAGTATAATAATAATAATATTATCCAAACCGAAACTCGGTTAAGATCAATGGGTTACTGGCTAAACCACATGATTCAATATACTAATACACACCCACATATATATATATATATATATATATATATATATATATATATATATATATATATATATATATATATATATATATATATATATATATATATATATATGTAGGTATATACATATATGTATATATATATATATATGTATATATATATATATATACATATATATATACATATATATACATATATATATATATATAATATAAAATTAAATTTTGTAACTCAATTATCAAGAATTTAATCTGGTCTAGTAGTTTAAAGGTACCTTAACTTTCTAATGTGTGGTTTCAATCCTCCTATACACACTTTTAACTTTCAATATTTCAATTAAGTAGATACTACCTTATCAAGTGGCAATAGAAGACAGAAAACACTTGTAACCTTTTACAGATCAAGGATAAGATAACCAATAAAAACACATTTGTAAAAATAAAGGGAAATTTTACAAGTAGACCCAAAGAGGTATTTTGTTGTAGATAATTAATAGTGTGTTGATTAGGTAGTTAGTGTATTGTTAACTAACTACTTCTAATAATATTATAAATAGTAATGATGTATTGTCATAAATATGTGTAAAATATAAAATTTCAGATTCAGTACTATTAAATCTATCAAGAAATATGATTCATTACTAATGAAAATTACAAAAAGTTAGTACATACGAGCAGAGGAGCACTCCCCCCCCCCCCCGCGACCTCCAAGGTGGATGTGAAACAATAGGCAACTCAATCACCTTGACCTTGGATCTAAGAAAATAAATCTTGTAGATGAAAGTGGCTTGACTAGTGCATCCCCCACAAGCTCAAGGTAGTTGTGAAACTGTAGGGTGATATTCTAGAAGTGGTGTTGATACAACTCATAAGGAACTTACTTTCTGTAAGATTGTGAAGAATATTTTTTAATAAGAGAAAGATAATTTCACGATTGAATTGCTCTCTATTTTTATTATTTTTATTTTCTCTTTTTTCTTCTTTTTTTTTCTCTTTCTTACATTTTGTATTACATTGATAGGGTATTATCAAGACTCAAATAACCCTTAGAATGCTATAAGGACTTCATTATGCATTCAATCTCCATTAAGCACTTTTTGAAAACACATTACTCAACCCCCTTAATGTGGTGTTCTTGAACTCCTAAAACTTCTCGTATTTTCTGAAACATTTCTCAAGGCAATGCCTTCATAAAAATATCAGCAAGTAGACCAATGGACTTGCAACACTCTAACTTCACTTCTCCTTCTTCAATTACTTCTCTTATAAAATGATGTTTGATGGCTATATGTTTTGTGGCAGACTGAATTCTTGCCGCAATGACTGATTTATTATCACAATGAATAATTACATCATCTTGTTTTTCACCAAAATCTTCTCATATTCTCTTTAATCGAATTGCTTGTTGAGTTGTTAAGCATGTTGAAATATATTCAGCCTCTATAGAAGATTGAGATACAGCTTGTTGCTTCTTTGCACATCATGAAAATAAACCTGAACCAAGTGAAAAAACATATCTAGATGTGTTTTTCATATCATCGATACATCCTGCCCTATTACTATCACAAAAGCCAACTAACTTTGTTTAAGCTTTGTTGTCATATTTTATTCCATAAGTTAAAGTGCCTTGAATGTATCTTAACACCCTTTTTGCTACACCTAGATAGATACGACTGGGATCACTCATGAATCGAGAAAGTAAACTAGTTGCAAACATTATATCAAGCCTTGAATTAGTAAGATAAAATAAGTTACCAATCAAACTTCTATAGTTGTAGGCATCAACTTTTCTTCCTCCATCTTTTGTCCTCAAACATTCCAAACTTCTTCACTATTTTTTTTAGTGTGTTTCTTTTGACAAATAAAGACTCAATCTTTCTCTTGATAATTTTCTAACCCAAGAAAATTATACAACAAGCCTAAATTTTTCATCCCATATCTCTCCATCATTTATTTTCTAAAATCTTCAATCAACTTCAAATTATTTCTAGTATCAATCCATACGATACGAGACCAAAATTCATACCCACAAAATGTTCTCTTCTTCCTAAGGAATAGAAGTGGTATTCATGTCAAGAAGATCGTGTAAGGAATAACAGTTTTCTTGCATGCGCCCCATCTTCTTGCAATAGGAACATTGAGGACGACCTTTTGTACTGCCACGTCCTCCTTGACTATTACATCCTCCTCGACCACGAGAAGCAACCATGACTAAAGTTTCAACTATCTCCACCTGATTCTCATTTGCCATCCCAAGAGAGCGGGATGTGAGGGCACATGAGGAGGTGAATGACATTGTGGTCACTAGGGTTGGCTCACGCTTCTCAAGGCACACCTAACCCTGACTTTGCTAATCAAAATGGTGTCGATTAACCATGGCAGACGATAGTGGTAGAGGTAGTTGGTGACTAGAGATGATTAGTGATGGAGATTAAAGTTGGATCTTTCCCGCTTTGGTACTAACTTGAGAGAAATATTTTAGGGTAAAAGTTAATGTAGAGAATACAAAAGATGAATCAAGCTCCTACCTCAACCCTAACCTTAAATATGAGTCCATACATCAAAACACTAAAATAATTTTTTTTTTTTAACAATCTAGTTCAAGAACATTCATAATGAACTGAACATTGGTACAAAATGTAATTTGACAAGGATATTCTAAGAATGAATATGCATTCTCATCACGTCCTCACTTATCAAACACAACACCAAATATAATAATTATGCTTCTTCATCCCTATGCTGTTGTTTTAACTTAGCAATGTAAAGCAATTATTAGGTATATAGGAACCCACTTTTCACATTTATTACGTGTAAATAAGTAGGATAGTAAAGCCTAAAAACCACCTGCGGCAGACAAAAACTCTAATAAGGACATTATCCCATAATTTTGCACTTTGCACATCCATGCATCGCATTTGTGTTTGCATTTGTTTATATGTTTATAAAACTTATTATCATTTTTCAACAAAATTATAGTCCCATCCCATGAGAACAAAATATAAACTAATGAAAGATGGCCAATTTTACCGCAAATTCTGTATTAGCCAAAGAGTGAACAAAATCCATTAGCTGAAGCTTTGCCCATTCCATGTGCAACTTCGGGTCATCGATTTGAGGGGGATGCCTCCAAGCTGCACCAAAACGTAATTTGTCTTTTGAAACCTGTCCATTGTGTACATCAATTGAAAATTTTTGCAAGATCTCCAATGCTTTATCCAGAGCAGGATTCACGACAGTAATCTGAATCAAGTTGAATAATACATGTCATTAATCACGAAGACATCACAACAGTAATCTGAATCAAGGTGAATAATGCATGTCATTAATCATGAATACATAAGAGAGAAGACCACACAAATAATTGAAGTTAACCAAAATCAAAATAGTATATCACCACTTGGATTTTCAAATAGTTGCAGTCCACATATTCCACCTCCACCAAATAAAACAGGAAAACCTCACTAATCTTCCTTTTAACTCATCGAATTTTTCCAGATTTAATTTTTTAGAATTAGAAAATAATTGAACGAGAGTGAAAAAAGATATATGAATTTTATTAAACTGTAAAAATGAATCGATCATACAGACCTATTGAGGTAAGTTATCTATATAGAGGAATAGCTTTATACAACAAGCAAGACCTAACCTAACTAAATTTGGCCGTAAAAACACAACAACTGGCTAGACCTAACCCCAACAATTGACATGTAAAAGTATACTCAATTATCCCCCCTTCAAGCTCAGAGTGCGGTAAACACAAACCAAGCATTGAGTTTGTCTCTTATAGCAATAAAGTTCAACTTGGTGATCATATCAAATAGTTGAACATGGACTTGAACATGAGTAGTGACAGTATGTTGAACCTTTCCCTAACAAAAGGGATGTCTAGTTCCATATACTCCATTCTTGATTGGAGGATAGAATAGTGACTAATAGCAACTGTGTTGACATCATGACAACATATCACTACAGTAGCAACAACAAAGTTCAGAAATAAGAGTGGAAAGGTTCAGAAAGGAAAGAATATGGAACAGATAGGAATATCAAAAAAGAAAAAAAAAATGATTCAATTTCTCCATTTCCCAACCAAAATCAAATACATATATAAACTGTTAGAGTATAACTAACTTGCAAGAATAAAGGAAAACAATATCTCATAATATCTAACAGAATCTATTTTTTCCCGGCTCTACTCTTGCACTTAATATCAGTAACCATGTAGTCTTGCATTCACTTGGGCTGCTTCCCCTCCCTTTTGGGCTTCACATAATTCCTATTTTGATCTTCTGATTCCACAATTGAGTCCTCCTCTTTCTCTCCGTTCATATCATTATCATCCCAACAAAGAAACACCTTGTCCACAAGGTGTAATTCAAGATATTCCACAAGCAGCTGGTCCAACGATTCCCAAGTTGAATCTACAGGAAATAATCCATGTCACTGAACCAGTACCAATTCTTGAGGAAGGTCACCTTTCACCTTAGATGCAACAAGAGCCATTGGCAGAATTTTAGGTTGATTTGCAACAAATGCATAAGCTAGTGCCAACTCTTTACCATCTATATCACCATGAAAGGGTTTAAGTTAGGAAGCATGAAAAATCAAATGTATCTTGGAATCTTGGGGCAGATCAAACTCAAACGCTATCTTTCCAATGCATTGTGTGGTAGTAAATGGACCATAAAAACAATTAAACAATTTCTGCGATCATCTCCCTGCAATAGAACTTTGCCTATATGGGCTCAACATTACTAAGACTCGGTCACCCAACCTAAAATGATGAGGAATTTGATGAAGATCAGCATATATGGCCTCAACCTTACCAAGACTGGGCCTTGAGAAGATTTTTATTTTTATTTTTTGACCAAGATGTTTGCTCACTCAGTTAATTCATATTCTACAGCTTCACAATTACTAGATCCAGATACATTCTGTGGTAAAGAAGGACAGAGCTTCCCATACACAGCTTGTGTTGAAATTATTAACCTATGAGTTGTATCTATCTCTACACCTAGGTTTCTATATTAGCTTTTGTCCCTTGACTTTCCATCTACTCATTGTATTTGTTATTTATCACTATAAATAAATGAATCATATGGGGGGTGTGATTAAGCCCTCTAAATCCAATAACTTAGCACAATCATCAAGTTCGAATCCTTCAACATTATATATGGAAAGTCAAAATCCATGAATAATAGACTTAGGTGTTTCTTATCACATTTCCGGTAATGCATCCTGATTCTCATCCGGATTCCATTACCTTAGACAACGGTTCTAAAGCTCCTTCCAAAGGAGTGGGTCAAGTTTCCCTTTCACCTTTTCTATATTTGAAATTTGTTTTGTTTGTACCTTCTTGTTCTTTTAATCTTATTTCATTAAGCCAATTAGTCAAGTTTTTAAATTGTTCAATAACCTTTGATGTCAATTCTTTTGTTATACAGGAATTTGAGTCATGTCAATTAGGCAAACAGATTAAATCATCTTTTCCAAAAAAAAATTGAATCAAGATGTAATTCTATTTTTTCTATTATTCATTATGATATTTCGGAGACCCAACCATGTCTTATCTTTTGGTATTAGATATTTTATTACTTTCATTGATAAATATTCCAAATATACGTGGACTTATCTCATGAAAGATCGTTCAGAATTGTTGCCTATCAATACATCCTTCTTGAATGAAATCAAAAATCAATTTGGTCAAGTAATTAAAATCTTAAGTGACAATGCCAAAAAAATATTTCTCTCTTATTTCTCTCCAATTCTAAATTCGCATAGCATTCTACACCAGTCCACCTGTCTTCACACCCCTCAACAAAATGGTAATACTAAAAGGAAAAATTGACACTTGGCTGAGACTGCCCGTACCCTTTTACTTGGTGTCAATCTACCGATCTATCATTAGAGTGATGCTATTCTAACTGGTTGTTTTCTTATTAATAGAATGTCATCCTCTTCTAATGGAGACATGACCATGAGCAAGGGCAAGGATCTACTTGAAGGACTTGGAGGACCTATGACAAGGGCTAGAGCAAGGGAAGCAAAGGAAGTTCTTCAACAAGTATTGTCTATATTATTTGAATACAAACCCACATTTCAAAGAGAAAATACCAAAGTTGTGAATTACTTCATGGTCCAAATGGAGGAGGACTAATGTATCACTTTGTTTCAGTCTTTAAGTTTGTTAAAATAATGGCCCAATCCTTTGCCAAATTATGTTTTAGGTTAATCAATTAATGGGCTTTAATTTGGTTTTGTTTCAAGTTGTAATAAGGACCCAATTGAAAACTTAGACATCAGTCTTTGTGAGACCAAAATGGTACATAACTGATTGACTTTTGATTGTCACAATTTCAGTTACAAACAGTCATTAAGTAGTTTTTAATTCCTAGATTAATTGATCATTATTAACATTTATTTGTCTCCATTAAGTAGTTTTCAATTCCTAGATTAATAGATCATTATTAGTATTTATTTTTCTTTATTGAATCTTTGTAACTCTTGTTAAGGTTCCAACATAAAATCAATTGGCAATATGTGGAGTAGCCTAACATGTATTTAAACCATACCAAATGACATGAGGTAGGCGATGTGGGACTTTCAACACGCCCCCTCCAACGAAGCCTGCCGGACCAGGCAAAGGGTACTTTTGACCCAACTAAAGGGCAACTTTCCTGCTCTGCCTGTCCGGCCACCGTCCGGCCACCATCCGGTCACCGTCCGACCATTTTTCGGTCACCGTCCGACCATTTTCCGGTCACAGTCCGGTCATTTTCCTGTCACCGTCCGGCCACTTTCCGGCCACTTTCCGACCACTTTCCGGTCACTTTTAGACAACCGTCAGTCCCCCGTCCAATCACCTTTTTTTGCTGCCATTCGACGACTTTCCAACCACCTTCCAGTAACCTTCCGGCTATCTTGGGTGTTCTCTTTCTTACGGGTTCCATTGTCTCCATCTTACATCTACATTATTTAAAGCATGTCGTCAGGGCCCACAACCTCCTTTTCCGAACTCCCACGATAACTAGCTGAGAAATTAAATGGAAAAAATTACATGTCTTGGTCCTCTTCAGTGGAACTTTGGTTCCTTGGACAAGGGTTTCACGATCATCTAGAAGAAGACGGAAGTAAGATACCAGAAGATCAAGCTCAACAATGGAAAAAGTTTGATTATCAACTCTGTGCTCTACTGTGGCAATCAGTAGAACCAAATATTTTGAACACTCTTAGATCCTTCAAAACATGTAACTCTTTCTGGAAAAAAGCTAGAATATCTTCGCAAATGATATCCAACGCCTCTATGATTCTGCTAATCGATTAGCCTCTCTCAAGCAAGTGGATAAAGATATGATGACCTTTATTGTTGAAGCTCAATCAGCAGTTGAAGAATTAAAGATGTTCCTAGAGGTGGATTCGTTAGAGGAGATAAAGCAAAAGTTGGATAAATTCTTTATGGTTATGACTCTCCGAGCTATGAATTCAGAATTTGATCATGTTAGAGATCAAATTTTAACTAGACAAGAAGTTCCTTCTATGGAAAGTTTGACTACAAGACTGCTTCGTGTTCCAACTCTCAAAGGAAAAAATAATCAAGAACTTGTTGAATCTTCTGCTATGATTTCTACCCGTGGAAGAGGAAGTCGTGGCACTAAAGGAGGACGTGGAGGTAGAGGACGTCCTCAGTGCACTCATTGCAAGAGAATGGGTCATACAGTGAAAAATTGCTACTCTTTGCACGGTTTTCCTGATAAAACTGTCAATTTTTCCAAATCTGAAATGGTTGAACCCAAGTTCTCTCACGAAGAATATCAGGAATATTTGAGATTGAAATCCAATAATCTAGCACAATCATCAACAACCCCAAATTCATCAACAGCTTGCATTTCACAATCTGTAGAAAGTCAAAATCCATGGATTATTGACTCAGGTGCTTCTGATCACATGTCTGGTAATGCCTCTTTGTTCTCTTCTCTCTCATTTCCTAAAAATCCTCATCTCATAACCTTAGCCAACGGATCTAAAGTAGCCTCTAAAGGAATTGTTCAAGTCTCCATTTCTCCGTCTTTAAACTTAAAATCTGTTCTTTTTTTTCCTTCATGTCCCTTCAGTCTCATTTCCCAAAGTCAATTAACCAAATTATTGAATTGTTCAATAACCTTTAATGCCAACTCTTTTGTTATACAGGAACGTGGTACAAGTCGACAGATTGGCGAAGGACATGAATCTGGAGGCTTATACTACCTTGGGACTAAATCACCTGTATCTTGTGTTGCATCCTTGTCTCCAAAACTATTACACGAACGGTTAGGGCACCCTCACTTATCAAGATTAAAAAAAATGGTTCCTGAACTTCAGACTCTTCAAGATTTTGAATGTGAATCATGTCAACTAGGGAAACATACTAGGTCCTCTTTTCCTAAACGTTCTGAATCTAGATGTGACTCTGTCTTTTCTCTTGTTCATTCTGATATTTGGGGTCCTAGTCGTGTCTCATCCTTTGGCTATAGATATTTTGTTACCTTCATTGATGAGTTTTCTAGGTGTACTTGAATTTATCTAATGAAAGACCATTCTGAATTATTACCTATCTTTAAGTCTTTCCTTAACGAAATCAAAAATCAATTTAGAAAAGTAATCAAAGTTTTACGAAGTGATAATGCTAAAGAATACTTTTCTACTGATTTCTCCACTCTCTTAAGCTTCCAAG